CCCCGCCAATTCTGCATCGCTATCCTCACGCAAGCGACAATATGCATTTTGTAAAAATTAAAAAAAGGAAGCCCCTCCTTATCCTTCGTGCACGCCGTGTGAAATATGTATTGCATAATGGCCGACGTAGCTTCACGTACGTTGTGTATTCTGTCTAGAAGAATTTCCATATAGCATTTAATAATATTTTTACATTGGATCAACCCGGAAAAATTGCTCAAACATTATCCTAGCAATGCAAAACAGTAAAATGGCGGATCGCGAAAGCTCACTGTAAAATATAATTTCCTGTATATTACGAGGAAAAGGACGGCCGTCAAGAATTTCTCTGGGTGTTGGATGCTGGATGCTGAATCGGGCTGGAAGTGGGGATCACGTGGTTAATAGTGAAAGTTAGTGAGACTACATTTACTTTACTAAATCATTCTGATCTTGACGGCCATCGTCACTCTATATGCTGATCGCAGTCAACTGTTTCTTTGGAGCATTATCGATTTTCAATTTAGCTATACAATAGTACCATATTTTTTATTAGTTTTTGTCCGGAATCCAACAGTAATCTCTTTTTGCGGAAAATTGTCAATAGCTTGCTGGAACACTTTCATTTCTTCTAGATCCCATTAAAAGATTGTGTTCTGTCTGAGCGAAATTGAACAATTATACTGCCGGTACCATAACAACAAATGCTAGCCAATCGCAATTGGGTCTAACACTTTTTAATGCTGGAACAAGATTGAACATCGTGCGAGTTTGGACGTCTCAGTCCCAGTAAGAGGCCATCAGACTAACAGGCTTCGCCGTACGAGACTCGTAGCCTCAGGCAGTGGCCCACATTTTCAACTGAATCATTCTTTTTAGGTTTTACCAACAGTTCGAGTAGGCATTCCTTATTTTGCTGCTTCGCCCGAATGACCACCTAGGCTTTACTGTAATTCTCATGTACACACTGCCGCCATCTGTATACAGCGTTTTGCACTCGTAAATAGTTAAGATGTGAGACGCTTTCCGACGTTCCTTATTAATTCCATGCGAACTTTCACAATCAACAAGAATTCGAAAACCATGTTCCAAATGTCCAGCAGAATATGTCTACCGCACAAAGTCCTACACGATGTTAAAAACGTTTACCTCGTAGCGTCAAGCTGATCTGTGTGTTAATAATATATCGCGTATAAAAAATGACGACTGGTATGGTCTGTACGTATTTATGTAAAAAGAAATACAGTGGTTCAACCGTCGGATAATTGGATCATTACAAGAACGAGCCCTTGGAGCTCTGTATCGGTACTCAAGTTCTCTTTTTGTAATAACGTCATCGCGAATACTCGACCACCCGATGATCAGGGTTATGTTACTGATATTTTAAACTCAAACAAAAAGACGAATAATCGCCCGATTATTCGATCCTATTAAACTAACAGTCAAAGAGAAGAAAGAACATCCGGTAAGAATCTGGTGTCGCACTGTTGTAAAATCTCATTAATATTAAAGTTAGCCGAGCACGGCTGTGGGCATCAACGTGAACATAGTCATTGAAATTCTAGGTTAACTCACATCGACCACTGACTTCAATTGGTATTGCTGTAGCCATTGCCATAGCTTGTGTCCTGGCGTACGTAATCTCGATCTAACCTTATCCTACTGGCTAATAGCTCACCGCATACTAGTAAAATTACTCACGGAAGCAATACTCAAGTAGTCAAGCAATCGTGTCAGAGTTCAAGGAATCAAATCGGCCGGATAATTTTCGAAGCCATGTTATTTAGCTCTTGGATGTTCTCGGTCAATTGATCTCTCAGGGTGTATAACGATTGATCCAGATATTCGAACCTCAAAGTGTCATTCGCATTTTACCCTGAATCCTCTAACGTCTATTACTTTGACTATAGTTGCCACAAGTACTCTATGGATACAGTACTCAAAGTGAGATAATACTGATAATGCAAAATTCATATCCAACGGATCCTTGCAACATCTGCAGGAACAAATAACAGTATTGGTAACCGTATTGAGATTACGCAAGGTCGATGCTACTCCCGGTAATGGCAGATGCTTTATATTTTGTAAATATAAAATATTAACAGTGCTCAACTGACGGTGCGTAGTAACGTTACAAACTGTGTATAACGGTGGAGTTACTACGAGTTACTATAGTCAATGACGGGACACGGTATATTGGAGAAATGTTTATAACTATACTATTATATGCACTATGCTATACTGTAGCATTGACTATTTCAGGACTCTGCTATTGGTCCAGTAGTAGCAACAGTACTGGCTTCAATTCCGACTGGATTCTCTTTGGAATTCATGACTGGGACTTCTTCTTCTTCGTCTACTATGGCTGCGTAAGTGCTTCGAGTTTATTCGCTTGCGCGAATCCACTTGCAAAAACATCCCGCAGCCAAGCGGTACTACTAGTAGACGCTGCTTCGATCGCGGATTACGGAAAATCGAGGAACGAGAATTTGAACCAGTATGTGGACAACTTACGGTTCAGGTTCCGTGACACCTTCCTGTCCGCTCTGGTTGAATAAACGTTACGGTGAGATTTTTCAAAGATTTTTATTTTATCATTTTATTACCTACAACGTAAGTAATCTCGTACGTTCGTTTCGCATATGTATTATGTTCTATGTTATAGTTTTTTTGGTTATGTCACTCTCTGCCATTGATTAAATTGGGTTATTAGATAATCGTTGGAATCAAATCGAAGCGGATTTAGCCGTGGGCGATAAATATGTATAATATCTATTGTTACATATGTCAGAGTTTATCTAAAAGTCTTTTCACGTTTTGGAAAGGGTATACACGAAGCGTAATAATGTATTTCTTTTGGCGGTATTATTCGATGAGTTGTTCATGGAAATTTTAAGGGGAATTATTATTTACAGGGAGACACAATATAAAAGAAAGATGTCAGAAATCATCGTTCCTACATTGTTACTGGGTTTTGTACCTTGGAATTTGAATGCCTTGGGTCTCGGCGATCTTCTCGGAATCGTCGGTGTGGAAAAATCGAGATAAAAGTCACGAAATCCAAAGGATTAGGCTGCTGTTTTTTGCATTGTCATTTTTATGTCGAACAAAACGAAAAGCAGGAACAGCGACTGAAATGGATGGTAGGGAATCTTCATTGTCTCTCTCGGCATGATTTCCTTGGAATTCATGGCTGTGCATCACCACACGAAAAATTCACGATGCTAATTTACGTTTCTAGATATAGGTACGCCTGCGTAGGAAAAGTATGAAGCATACTACAGTAATAAACTTGTTCTCTAACCGGAAAGAGGAAACAGGAAGAAAAAGCGCTCGTAAAACGTCTACCCTATAATTTCATAATTTACTATAATTCATAATGTTATATTATAGACACAGCATTAAAATACTATTTATACGTGTGTTCAGTAATTGATAAATTAACGAGTGGCTGTCACCCGGGATTCTGTGTGGGTATTAGATTGGTAAATTTTTAATGCTAAGCTTTTGTATTCTTTCAGGAAATATTTTACGAGAGAGTACAATCCAATGCTTAGGAACGACAGTTTCTCTCCTAAGAAACTTTGGTACGTATTTAATCTCAAGGATCCGTGGTCCCACTTGCTGGCTTCTTCTTCGTGAGATGTCTTGCCGATTGAAGTGGTGCCGCCTATACGGGGGGCTAAGTGAGTGTCTTCTCGAATGAACTCTCGTTACGCCTGTTGCGGTGTTAGCGAATGTAGGTCCTCGGGTCGCCACCTATAATACCTTCTACCTTGCGCGTTGCGCATCCTCAGCAGAAACTGTAGACAGCTTTGACGTATATGGGAAACGGGTGATTAACGGGCTGACTGTGAGCAGTCCTGAACTACTGATGAGATACCAAAATTGTAGTGATAGCTCAAAGTAAATAATTAAATATTACGGACCATAGGTATTAAGCCAGATTGATGAATAATAATATTAATAAAAGTATGGGATTACTTGATGATGATTCTGAACTAGGTGTTAAGTTGAAAATTAGTAAAAATAAAAAAATATGAAAATAGTTATTTTATAGAAAATCTTTTCTTCTACCTGTGAATCGTGCATGTGCGGAATAGTTAATAATAAATTGATCTCTTGTAAAATCTCTCGCGAGATCCATGACGTGGATAACGGGTGAGTGAATAGTATTTGTATAGTATAGTCAAAGAAAAAAGAATCTGCACCAAGTAGTCTCATACCTTAATACATATCCACGTCGTTTACCTTATGGTGAGACAAGTAAGTTAACCCAGCCATCCAGCCATCCAACCATCCAGCCAGCAGCCAGTGAAACAGCAAGAGAGAGGGGTTCCTCGCTCTACACCTTTCTCCGGTTCCCAACACTCGGAGTTCTTGGTTCCTCAGTCCTCACCGGGACACAGACAAAGTTACACTCAGGCAAAGGTCAATCTGTCTCTCGGTACCTTCAACCTCCTTAGGCTGAGATCAGCCACCAAGTAGGTGCACGTCGTCGAACTGTGCGTTTCTTTGAAACCGTCCTAAAAACGCAAAACCAAAATTAACAAAATATACAAGAGGGCGATTCCTTATCCGTACGCGTTTATCAACCATCTTTTACGTGTTTATTTTTTTTATTTTCAATTTTAATAAAAGCATACCTCCATCGGATCGATCACTGTGCATGGTGCCAGGCTTTAAGGTGGATTTTCAAAAGTGTCCGTGCAAGGGAGCGAGGGTGACAGGGGGATTGGTTGTTTTTGATGACAGTGCTCCTAATGGAAGTGTTCTCTTGAAGAGGAAGACAAAATTAGGGTTGGGACAGACGTGTGGCGAATCATGTGGCGACTCAGGTTTACCAAACTCCTCGTCGTGTTCCTCGTGACTGGGACACTAGCGGCACTTGCACAAGGCGAGGGTGAGTTTTTTTAAATTTTAATAAAAAAAAACTTAATCACAACATTCACTGGAAACGGTCGTTCGAGTAAAACAAAAAATTTGTTTAATAATTAACTTTCCCAAACATTTGTCGGTAACCGCAATTCGATTTGGAGTTTCCATTTAAGAGAAAAAAAATTGTCAGACCAAAGAGAGACGCACGTAATAGCCTTACTCGATTTCCTGCACTCCTCGGCAATGCAATTGCTAATGGGCATTGTGAGGTTTTCCTGAAATAAAAGTATGGCCAAAACAGCCAAGAACTAAGGGGAACAAGAAGAAGCCATATTATTCGCTGATTCTTAACTAATCGACCTCTTCCTCGGTTTCTCCTCGTTGCTTTTCCCGAAGGCACGTATATACGTCCTGCTTCTTGTTACCTGTCGGATAGTTTACCGCATGGCTTGCCGCGAATTCTTACCAGTTACGATACGATTTGGTACGCGTTTGCGACTACTTTTTCAATGTGGCTTAATTACGCAATAACTGCCCCGGGGAGAAGTTACAAATGTTGTTTCACGAGAATTTTGTAAAAATTGTTTTTTTTTCCAAATTTTCTCTTTCTCTCCAGGACACGTACAGAATTTATTCTCGATGACCCTTACGCAACAGTCTTATACGGATGTAAGTTCATTTTGAGAGAATGCGATTAATAATGAATTTTAGAAATCGTGGGATTTTTTTCCCCCTTCAATTTTCTTCTCTGGTTTCACTTTTTTCATTGCGAATTGTCAACTGGCCCAAGTGACTATGCTTATTATGTCGTGTATGAATTTTTGCTCCAGGACATAGACGACTCGAGGTCGGGTCCTTGAATTTTGACGTGACAGTCAGAACCGTCCGGGGTGTCCAACGACCGGATCGATTGGTGTCCATTAGATCTTTAGGCGAAATCCAATTTTGCAAATATTTGCACCGCGCAAACTAGGAAGCGCGCACACGTGTTTTGAATGAAGGAAAAAGTGCTGATAAGAAATTTGTGTACTCATGGATTATGAGCTCAATGTAAATGATAGGTATTCATAAGGAAAGGATTTTTAGTGTAGCCGGTTGGCCTTGCTGCTATTGGTTCTTCGACTGTGTCACTTACGTTCACTTACAGCGTTAGCGAAATGGCCGAGATCGAGAATGCGCTCTTGGACAAAATAATAATAACCAGCGAAATTATAGTGTTTGCTTCTGAAATTCCATTTTCTACGGATGCCAACGTACGGAGAGAAAAAAAAAGCAATGGAAGTAACTAGGGAATTTGTGGGCTTGGTTCTTCCCAGGAAATTCCCATACACCCTGCTAGAGATTTTGTCCTTTTATTTTGATCCTTCCCTCGCACATGGGGACTCGCCCAAAGGGATTCAAGATTTTCTGTATTCCTTCAGTTTGCAGATTCAACTGTGAGATGCATACCGACAGGACGTTCACTTTTATGTTAAGTAGTTTGCCATCCTGATGATATTCCACATTCCGTACAGAAGCCTCTACGTTACATTCCTACCTATAAGGATGCACTCGATGACCAATGACAAATTACATTGTTATCGTAGATATATTTTTGAAAAAAAAAATGGACAAATCTCATTTTTGAAATTTTACTTTTCAAGGATCGTTGTTCCCGTCAGGTTTTGCCGAGCGGAATAGAAATCATGAAATATGTCATCGATCGATGTATTTGTTTTGTCGGGCTGGTATCAACGACTCGTGACCGTAAAACACCGTAAACCTCAAATGCAGTTTACGGTATCCGCAAGGAACGACCGTCTCGAGTCTTAAAGTTCTGTAGCACCAACCGTCAAACGCCGAACCGCCAGAGCAACGTTTCACCATGTTCACGAACTGCGCCGTGATGTCGTTTCGTGCATTTAAAGGATATTAAGAAAACCGGCCCCTTTCGGTTGGCCGGACTGATTGCGAAATGAGGAGCCTTGCACGCGCACGTGCGTATGTGCCTGCACGCACAGTTGATAGCTCAGGAAAAAGATGGCGCCCGTTACTGTTACTCGGTTGAGCAATCATCACTGGCGGCATTAATGACGTTCGCGGTGAAAATAATATTTTACATTCAAAAGTCTGAAAATTCCTTACAAATTTTCCTGCGGATTTCAACATATCCTCGTTTACTCACGTAGCTAATATTTGAGCAATCGTGCTGAAAGTATTAAACAAAATCTTACTCCGCCCTGTTTCGTTAATCGTATATCATTTTTTTAACTTGTGTATCAAACACCCGGTATTATCTAGCTACGTGTGTCTTAAAATGGCAAACACTTTCTCCGTCGGCAAGAAACATTGTGTATGGGCTTAATCTTCGTTCTCAATGGAGTCATCGATGTTTTCTGACGCACGACAATTTCTATGGAAAACCGGATGTGTCCAAAGTCAGAAAATCGATATAGACAAATGGATTGACGTGCGTGCAGATGCAGTGCGAGGACGGCAGCGCCCGGACAATTGCCAGAGTTAAACTCCACTCGAAAGGGAACTTGGATCTAGATGCCTTTGGATGGCATCCAGATGCCAGTTCAGATGGGAGCGACATTTCCCTGACATTTGCCAACGGAAAGTCCTTCGGCAGCATCCACATCATTCTCATTGTTAGCGTAGCAGTCTCCAACTCGTGAAATACCATTAGACGAACCCCCCACGGACGATAAAGGCATTTCAACCGTTTCCACAGTCGAGTCCAAGCGAAATACCTGAAACTGTGCAATCGCGGTTGACCCCCTTGACAGCGGTCAGTCCAGAGTTCATAGTTCAGGATAAAGTGCCAGAAGTGAAACTGCAACGAAATACCAAATACGTTTTCTCTACGCAGAGGCAATAAATTAAATCAGCAATAGTCTAGCAGAGTGTAGTGAGGAAATGGAAAAAAAAATTGAGATCCGATTGAGTTTCACTATACTTGTGACACGCGTGGTTACTGAAATTACTGAAAAAAAAAAATTAAAAAAAAAAAAGAAAAGTACCGTCGCAAGTACCGAGGTCGATTTCCAAAAGTCCGATATTCAAATTGGCACTGGCATTTCCTTTTTCGAGTTCTCACAGAATGGGGTCCAGTCGAGTTACCGTCTGAGCCAATCATCAGGATCGGGAGAGTCGATGGTGGTAATTAATTAACATGGGTTCAGAGGAGTGTAAGGAACTGACTGTAGCCAACTGGAACCAAGGCCAATTTGCATGCGACTCCCAGAATGACAAAATGCCTAACAATATCTTGTTTCAAGCAACTCGACGTCGAAAGCCTCGGGTGATGAAAGTTCCTGAGGTTCCGCGAGTATATACGTATATTGACACATCCGGTCCGTTGCTGGCTCCCGGGGAGACCCAGTTTTAATGAGAATTTTCACAAAGAGTCAGTGACCAATTGATGACACCCATCATCAAGCGTGAGTTCATCTAATGGGACGTATTGCGTGTCTCGTGAATGTACGACCCAAAAGAATCTACTGGGTCAGGAATGAACTATGGAAATGGGTAACGGAATTGGAGGACGTGTTGGGAGTCTTAACTGACTAATGGGAAGTTCAACGTATGACCCGGTATATTATGCAGCCGAATGCGAAGTATTGGTTTTCTTTGGCGATACTAGACCTAACCTAACCTAGATTGGATAATGTCATGTAACCGTGCCGAAGTGTAATCGCGCATCTTGTCCACTCGTTACGGGTAAGTGAGGTCACTTATCCTCCAGTGTTATTCGGATTTCTGATTACATCCTTTGATTGGGGTGCCTTTATAGGGAACCTGGAAAGCAAGGGGAATTGTTGTGAAATTTGGAATTTCATTGCGTCTGCATATCTTTTATTGATATCGAATTCTTTTGGCTGATACGACTGTCTGGCTTTTCTCGTGTTTACGTATTGTTTCGTGTTGAAATTTTGTCTGACTCGGAATCCCAGAAACCTCTTTACGCGAATCGCATGAGAATTGGGCGCGACCTCGAGAATTCGGAGGAGTACGTGGTGCAAAATTTAATTTTGAATCGAATCGGCACTGGCCGAATGTCTCGTCCTCGAAATCTTCTCACGAGTCAAACCACTTTCCTGGCCTTCGTTTCTTTTTTTATTGAACAAGCGATACCGCCTAACGAGAATCCCTAGGAAGTTTACGTTTACGACATTAGAGGGAATGTCGTTAAATTGGTCGTAGAAGAAGCGAATAAAAAAGAGAATATTTATTTCAGGAATCGGGTAAAAGGGGATTATATAAAATTGAAAATTTTTTTGTTCAATAATAAATAAACGACTTGTTTACCACAAAACCTGCTTTGATTGCTTTCAACGTTTCAAACCTAAATTGCACGTCGATTAGAGTTCGTTAATTAAAAAAATGTGAAAATAATTCTAACACCTTAAATTTCTCAATAATTTTTAATCTTTGAGCCAAGATGTAAAATTTGCGATTATAACGGGTCCTCCTCTCCAGGTTCGTTCACCGTGACTCCCTGGGTGTTGACGTAATCGTTTACGGCAGATGAACGGTTTCGCGTCTAGGATCTTTCGAGTGGAAATGATCGTTTCTATTCTAAGATCAATCACTGGATCTTTGCTCCACGGTGGATTTGTACTCTGCAGCTGTTATATGGACTCTTTTGAAATTTCTTGTTTTCAGTTCTCTCCCTATATCCAGTAGTGGATAGTAGATAAGGACTTGTATAGCCAGACATGGAATTTCCCCACGGACTTACTTACCATCCAGTAGAAAGAGAGTCGAGAGAGAGAGAGAGAGAGAGACTGTCAGTCTCTCTTCATTCTCTTTGTGCTTTATTGGCAAGAATCGATTTTTATCGAAAGCTCTCTCGACTCTCGATGTCTCGATCTAAGTCAAGACGAGACTCGAAAAAGGAGTCGAATGGAGTTGGTGGAGATCGGATCGATCTCTCTGACTTGTCCTCGCCAACTTCACTCGGCCAACTAGGCTATTGGCTGATCTTGGCTACCTCACCTACATCTTTTTAAGAAACTTCGTTATCTTGGGCATTACCCT